ACCGCAGCCACAGCCAGGCAGGAAGACACCCAGGCTGAGTCCACCCCTCCCCCCCTCCCCCCTCCCATCTCCCCAGTTGAGCGCCATTGCCCCGGTCCCACGACCCCCCCATGCCCCCAGCCCCGATACCCCCCACATCAACCACGATGCCCCACGGGACGAAATCAAAGGGGTTTAATCACTTCCACTACGGGTTGGAGCCAATCAAAGAAGCCCAGAGAGATTGTTCTGATGTGGAGGTACAGGCTATCTCAAGACTGATGTAATCCAACATAAGGTCTTTATACTGTTTAATACTAAGAGTATTTTTATTTTTCCAATTCATGAGTATAGTTTTTTTTGCTATACATAAAGCAGTAAAAATCATGTCCATTGACTTTGTCTCCAAGGTGACATCATCTAAGTGGCCCAATAAGCAAACTGACGGAGAGAGTGGAATATTACATCTCAGACACTTTGATAAGTCTTCACATATCCGGCACCAAAACCTCTGAACAGGTGGACAGAACCAAAATGTGTGGATGTGATTGTCAGGAATATTGTCTGTACACTGTGAGCAAACATTAGATGATGTGAAACCCATCCTGAACATCTGTTGACCTGTGTAGTGTACTCTGAATGATTTTGTATTGTATTAATTGTAAATTGGGGTTTTTAATCATCTTAAAAGTTCTTAGACATATCTGAGACCAGAAGTTTTGGTCAAAGTTGACTGACAAGTCTGTCTCCCATTTTACAATGGGAAGGGATATTGATCCATCTATTTTAATGAGTGTCCGGTAAACCTTAGATAGAAATTTGGGAGGGTTAAGATTTGGGAATTCTAATACACTTGTTGGTATTTCAATTCTAGTGTTATTAAGGTTAAATTTATTTTTGTTATAGATTTAATTTGTTGATATTCTAAAATTTTATTCTTATCAATCCCATATTGTGTTATTAATCTGTTAAATGCGATATAGTCTACTTCCTCATACATATGTTCCAAATATTTGATTCCTTTACACCTCCAACCTGGGAAGTTTATCATATTATTCTGTTGTAGGATGTCAGGGTTGTTCCAGATGGGTGTACGTCTGCATGGAATTAGTGAAGACTCTGTCATTTTAAGAAACTCCCACCAAGCTGTCAGAGAGGAGCTGATATTGATGCTTTTAAAGCATTCCTGTCGTTTTATGTTTGAGCTAATGAATGGAAGGTCCGAGATCATTATATTATTGCAAAGTGTCTGGTTCTACATCTAGCCAGGGTTCATCAAGGGGTGTGTGTTTTATCCATCTTGAGATGTGTTCTAGCCTGTTGGCTAGAAAGTAATAATAGAAATTGGATAGCTCTAGTCCTTTATCTTTGGTCTTCTGTAGTGTTTTTAGTTTAATACGTGGGGGGTTATCTTTCCAGAGAAATTTAGAGATGGAGGAGTCCAGGGATCTAAACCAGTCAGATGATGGTTTATTTGGGATCATTGAGAATAGATAGTTTATTTTAGGCAAAACCATAATTTTTATTGAAGCAATTCTTCCCATGAGAGACAAGGGTAGAGATTTCCATCTAGCAAGATCATCCTCAATTTTCTTTAAAAGTGGGATGTGGTTTAGTTTTGTTAAATCTGCCAATCTAGGAGAGACTTTGATACCCAAGTACGTAATATTCCCTGACTGCAGTTGTGTAGTAAGTGAATTGTTGAAATAGCAATTAATTGGTAGAACTGTGGATTTTATCCAGTTTATAGAGTAATCTGAAACTCTTAAAAAATAGTTTATCAATCCAATAACCTGAGAGAGGGAGGTTTGTGAATGCTGGAGGAAGAGCAACACATCATCAGCATATAGACTGATTTTGTGCTCTATGTTCTTGCATTTTATGCATTTAATATCTGTAGTTTGCCTGATTGCTGCGGCTAGCAGTTCAATGAAAATAGCAAACAATGAGGGGGAGAGTGGACATCCCTGCCTGGTTCCCCTTTGCAGAAGAAAGCTAGCAGATATTTGATTATTTGTCCTAATGCATGCTGATGGGGAAGTGTATAATATTTGTAACCAGTTTGTGAAATAATTTCCAAAACCAAATTTTTGCAAGGCTGCAAATAAAATTTCCAGTTAACTCTATCAAAAGCTTTTTCTGCATCTAGAGAGAATATTGCAGTTTCAATATTTTTACTGTAAGAATAATCAATTAAATTAAATAATTTAAATAAGTAATTAAATAAGTGTTATTTTATCCAGGAATTTATCAATTTCATTATCTGATGGGTTTATCTGGGGTGAGTATAAAGCTTTATAAAAATCTCTGAAAATGCTGTTTATTCTTTCAGGATCATAAACTGTATTCCCCAGTCAAGTCTTTAACACCATGAATACTTGTTTTTTTCCTTATTTATTTTTAAGCTGTTTTGTTAGAAAGCTACCTGATTTATTGTTCTGTTCAAAGTTTTCTTTTCTGAGTCTTTGTATTAAGAATTGAGTTTTTTTGTTAATAAGTTCATTTAATTCTAATTTTGCTTTACACGTTTTCTCCAGCATGTCTTCATCTTAGGAGGCTTCTAACAATTTAATGGTTTCTTCTAATTCCTGAATATGTTTATTTTCTTTTTTCTTCTTATGTGATAAGAAGGAAGTAGAGTCTCTGATTATTTTACTTCTCATCACTGCTTTCCCTGCCTCCCAGAGAACAGATGCTGATGTTCCAGGCAAGTCATTATACTCCAGATATGAAGCCCACTCTTCTGTAAAATATTTGATCAAATCTTCATCTTCAAGCAATGATATATTAAATCTCCAGTTTATACTTTTTGGGATTTCTTTTCTGTTTGCTAGAGTTAAACAGACAGGAGCATGATCACTGACAGCTATAGGGTGTATCTCAGTGTTCGAGATGTCCATCAACAACAAGCTGCTGACTAAAAAATAATCTAGCTGAGAGTAAGAGTGATGGACAGGTGAGAAGAAAGTATACTCCCTACGGTTCGGGTGAAGAGATCGCCATGTATCGCAAAGTCCATAATCACTCATGTACTGTTTAACTATATTTATGGACTGCCAACAGTGCTGAGTTCCTACTCTACTACATCTGTCTAATTCTTCATTTAAACCAAAGTTGAGGTCACCTCCAAGTATAAGTGAGCAATCCAAGTGATCAGACAATGCTGAGAAAAAATCATGAAAAAAAGAGGTGTCATCAACATTTGGGGCATATATGCTGACAATACACAGCTTGTAGTTATTTATACAAAGTTTTATTATTAAATATCTACCCTCTGGGTCTGTAACTGTGTCTAGTACTGTAAAATTAACATTTTTGTGTATTAATATTGCCATTCCCCTTTGTCTTGAGTTATAGCAGGCACAAAACACATCAGGAAAGTCAGGTGATTTAAGATCATCTGCAGTTGTAATAGATTTATGAGTCTCTTGTAAAAATACAACATTTGCCTGTAATCTTTTAAGCTGGTTTAAAATTCCCAATCGTTTTTGCTGAGTACTGGTTCCATTGACATTCCAAGTCACAAACCTTAATCAGTCAGAGAGTCAGAGTCAGAGATTCTTTATTGTCATTCGCACCTCATGTGGTACATGTGGTGGAGCGAAATTATGTACACAGGGTCCCAGTTACATCCAACAATAAAATGTATAAGAAAAACAGTAATAACATCTAAGAAATGAACTAAGAAAAACATCAACTAAATATACACTAAGCACTCATAACATAAAAACATTGAACATCAGCACAAACATGAACACGAGTCTGTGTGAGCGGATGTCCACGCATGAACACATCAACATTTAAACAGATCAGCAGCAACATGATGTGGTTTTTCACAGTGATTATTCTAGTTAGAGATTCATGAGTCTAACAGCCTCAGGGTAGAAGCTGTTCCTCAGTCTAGTGGTTCTACACTTAATGCTCCTCAACCTCCTTCCTGAGGGGAGTGGGGCAAAAAGTGTGTGTGCTGGGTGAGTGGGGTCCTTCATGATGCAGGTGGCCCTCTTCCTGCATCTGGAGGTGTAGATGTCTGTGATGGTGGGGAGGCTGATTCCAACAGACTTCTGTGCAGCCTTCACCACTCTCTGCAAAGCTTTTCTTTCTGCAGCTGTGCAGCCTCCATGCCACACGTTGATGCTGGAGCACAGGATGCTCTCCACTGCACACCTGTAGAAGGAAGTGAGGACTGAGCTTCCCAGACCAGCTCGCCTCCGCTGTCTGAGGAAGTAGAGTCTCTGATGAGCTTTCTTGATCAGGCTGGTGGTGTTGTTGCTCCAGCTGAGGTCGTCATTCATGTGTACACCCAAGTACTTGTAGCTGGAGACCACTTCCACCGCAGATCCTGTTATGTTCAGGGGGGTGTAGATGTTTTTGTTCCTTCTGAAGTCCACAATCATCTCCTTTGTCTTCTTCACATTGATGTGAAGGTTATTCTCTTTGCACCAGATCTCCAGGTGTTCCACCTCTTGCCTGTAGTTGGACTCATCATTGTTTGTGATGCATCCCACCACCGCTGTATCATCTGCAAACTTTACAATGTGACAGCCTGGATGGGTAGCTGCACAATCATACGTGAGCAGAGTAAACAGGAGGGGGCTCAACACACATCCCTGAGGAGAGCCAGTGCTGAGGGTTATGGTGGAGGAGGAGAAGTTGTGGATCCTCACTAACTGTGGTCTGTTTGTTAAGAAGTCTAGGACCCAGTTGCAAATGGAGGGGCTTAGTCCTAGTGTGGATAGTATGTCCATCAGGGTTTGGGGGTTCATGGTGTTGAAGGCGGATGTAAAGTCCACAAAGAGCATACAGACGTAAGAGTTTTTCTGCTCCAGGTGGTTGAGAGCAGTGTGGACCACAGAGGAGATGGCATCCTCTGTTGATCAGTTCTCACGGTATGCATACTGATGAGGGTCCTCGTTGATGTTGATGGTTGTTTTGATGTGAGTCATGACCAGTTTTTCGAAGCATTTAGCAACTATCGGGGTGAGGGCCACTGGCCGATAGTCATTCAGACCAGTCACTAGCTATGTTTACATGCGCAGAATTCTTTGACCGGATTGAAATGTGTTCTGTTTGAATAATTCAAATGTATTGTTTACATGGGCACAATCTGTTCATGATGAGCATTTACATGCAGTGGGCTTTGTTCTGAACAGCAGTACTGACATGCGCAGAGTGGTAAACTCTCCTTAAAAAAAAACACTGAAGAAGAAGTTCTACTTCCGGGTAAACGTAAACAATCCTGAGCACCCAAAGTGGACCCGCAACAGGTTTTAATGATGGTGGAGACGTTACTGCACTCCCTGACTGAGCTACAGGTAATATAAATCATTTTGAGCTCTTTAAAAGTTTCTAGTAGAAATGTTGTGTCGCTCACCGACCAGTTTTACTTCCCTGACAAGCTAATATTATTAGCATTAGCCAGGCGGAAATGGCAAAGTCGCACATGCGCAGTCAGGTCAGTTTTTCACCATCAGATAAAAACGAACGGATCAAGCGTTTACATGCGCACCGATCGGGTTTCGGATCGGCGTAAACCACCCGTTTCGTTCTGATCAGAAATTATAACGGATCGCGCCGAATACACAAAAAATAACCCGAACGGAGTGTTTACATGACACACTTTTATTCCAACCGGCCATTTGATCCGGTTACTTATGGCCATGTAAACATACCCACTAAGCTTTTTGGGACTGGGATGGTGGTGGCAGTCTTCAGGCAGGTGGGAACTGTCTCCAGGGTAAGTGAGGTGTTAAAGATGTCTGCCAGCACCTCACAGAGCTGATCAGCACATTCCTTCAACACTTTTCCGGGGAAGTTTGTCTGGGCCAGTTGCTTTGTGCGGATTAATCCTCCTGAAGGTACTCCTTACTTCGGCTGAGGTCACGCTGAGATGCTCTTCATCCGGTGGTGAGGTGAGTCTGGTGCTGGGTGGTCTGTTCGGGTCTTCAAAGCGTGCATAGAACTTGTTGAGAGCATCAGGCAGAGATGGGTCTTTGGGGCATTGTTCGCTCCTTCCTTTATAATCTGTTATGCACTTAATGCCCCTCCACATTAATGTGCCCATAGTTGTGCGTGAGTAGCTAAAGTTGACCAGCGCATGTCACCATAGAGACAAATAGATCCAACTAAAATCAGAGTTATTGCTTGAGATTGCCTGTTTAGATGTTTAGAAACACACAGTGATGTTTGAAGTGGAAAGATACAAGAACATCGAGTAGAAGCTGGGTGTGAAAGAAGTTGAAAGATATAAAGTTCTCTTGTGTGTGTGCGTGTGTGTGTGTGCGTGTGTGTGTTTTGGTGTGCTTGTGTGTAAATGTTTGTTGGGTGGAAAAGAAGAGAAAAAGACTGATGAAGTGATGTGGTAACAGATAAACATAAAAGATAAAATAGTAAAAATAATAAAAAAAATAAAAAGGAAAAGAGAGGAAAAAAACAAACAAATTAACAAACAAACAAGAAAAAGAATAGCTTTGACACTGTTCACCACCACCAGTGCAGACACCTTACCAAGTTGTGCTTTACATTTTATTTACAAATGCCAGTTAATTTACCTCCAGTGTTACAAGCGTTAAACCAGGACTATTCAACTAAACTGCCCAGGGGGCCACAGTTACTGAAAGCCAAGCGCTCAGGGGTCCGATATCCACCAGTTATCATTAAGTTACATTGTTTTATAGTTAAAACTCTAGTTTCGTTTTAAGAGTGAACCCATTGGTGGACCGAACTTAGCTCACCTGTGGGCCTGACTTGGCCCGCGGGCCGTCAGTTGAACAGCCCTGCTTCAAACTAACCTGTTCCTTTTAATAAAGCCATGGAGTGACGTCCCGTTCCATGAACAGCTGACCATTAATATAAAGTTTATCTACAGCCACCGTAGCTCTGACACTCTCAGACATGTATTTCTTCCTGATTGGAAACAAAACTCGCCTCCGATTGAGGATCTCTTTAGGAGATTGATGGTTAACACTGAAGTCCGTCCCACGCAGCTTTTGTTTAAAGTGCTCAAATTTAGCTATAATTGGTCGAGGCCGATTGTTATCGGGCTTCTTACCTCCGAGCCGGTGAACGCGATGGAAAGTGATGTTTTTTACCGTCTCACTTGGGAGTTTCAGCTGATGTTGAATAAACTTACGGATTGTAACTTCAGCATCCTCCTCTGCTCGTTCTGGGATCCCAGAGAAGACAAGATTGTCCCGCATGCTCCGAGCTTGAATGTCCAGGATGGACCCCTTCATTCTCCTGTTCTCTCCGGACAGCTGCGACATCTTCTCGGTGAGTTCTTTAACGTTACCCCTCAGAGTTTGGTTCTCTGCAGCGAGCTACGCCACCTGAGCTTGGCTGAACTCTAGGGACTCCCTCAGTGCTTGAAATTCCTTGTGGAGAACTTCCACCAGGGCCAGCCAGGCATCTAAACTGGTTAGCTTCTTGTCTATAGAGCCCAGAATATCAGTGAAGCTTTTCTCTGGAGAGGTGGACGTGCTGGTTGAGCTCTCCGAACGTGTGCGTTTAGGAGTTGGTGTGGCCGTGGATGCGTGTTTTTTTGTGGTTTGCCCATCACGATGTTGTTAAAACACTCGTCCACGTAACTCTCCAGAATGTCCAAGGTTTCCTCGTCCAGTTTGGTTTATTGAAACAATATGAAGAGGTTATTATTAACAATATTTATTATGCTTGATTGTAATATATTGGCTTGTTTTACCTGAGTTGAATCGTTTTGTTTAGCAGTATCCTGCCATGTTACTTACGCAGCACAGCTCTCACGTGATCTCAGCAGCTCATCACCAGGTGCACCCCCAACATCACGCTTGGAAAACAGCCTTTGTTTTATCTTTGCTGAAGGGAGATGACCCCACCTCACTGAAAAACTATCGACTAATTTCCTGATGCATGCTCAGGTCCAGAGGACAAGATTTAACTTTTTTTTAGATATCGACTAATTTCTAAACTCTGCATTTTAGCCAAGGTTCTACAAAAACTGATAAACTCTCAAATCAAAAAGTATTTGGACTCTTTTAACATCTTACCTCTCCATCACTCTGGTTTCAGGAAACAACACAGCACAACGACTGCTTCACTGAAGGTTCTTAATGACGTTGTTGAAGCACTGGATGCTAAGGATTATTGTGCTGCATTCTTCTTAGACCTGTCGAAAGCTTTTGACACTGTGGATCATAACATCTTATGTCATAAGCTCTCAGAAACTGTTTTATCAGCTCACACCATCGGTTGGTTCACTAACTATCTCTCAGGCCAGATGCAATGTGTTAAACATAATAGTACTTCTTCCAGTTATTTAACAGTCAACAATGGTGTTCCACAAGGCTCTGTCTTAGGACCCACCCTCTTTACGATCTATATAGGTAATGTAGGTCAGAGCATCCCTGATGTATCTTTACATTTCTATGCTGATGATACAGTTGTCTATTGTTGAGCTAAAACAGTTGCTAAAGTTTTCCAGCTTTTGCAGTCCGCTTTCGACATCATCCAGTCATATTTGTTCTGTCTCAAGCTTATCCTAAACTCCGACAAAACCAAAGGATGCTGTTTTCAAACAGGAAGTCGGTCCCAGCAGTTCTTCGTTGATTTTATCCTCGAATGGTGTCCCTATCGAGTTTGTCAATTCCTACTAATATTTGGGTATCTTGGTAGATTCGCATCTCTCTTTTAAGCTCCACGTGGAAAACTTGGTAAGGAAACTGAAAGTTAACTTGAGTTTCTTTTTCAGAAACAGATCCTGTTTAACTCTGAATGCTAAGAAACATCTTATAACTGCAACTTTCCTTCCCTCCATTGACTATGGTGACATTATTTATATGAATGCTCCTACAAGCACCCTGCAGATGTTGGATGTTGTCTATCATGGTGTACTAAGATTCATAACTGGCTGTAACTACCATACCCACCAGTGCACCCTATATTCACTGGTTAACTGGACAGCATTAACTTCACACAGACTCTCTCACTGGTGAATTTTCATCTTTAAATCACTTCTTGGTCTGTTGCCTTCATACATCTCCTCCTACATATCACTGCGTGAGTGCAGCTACATACAGCGTGTGCTCTCAGGACATTATTACATGCAGTGTTCCCTCAATGCGGACTGAACTAGGCAAAAGGGCCTTCTCCTACTCCTCTCCTGTTTCCTGGAATATCTTGCAACGAGATCTGAAGCTCTCTGCTTGTAAGGATGGTCTGTTTCATGGGTTTAGTCCCATCTTGTTTTGTGTTTTTTGTCTTATGTCCCTCTTCTCAGTTTCTGTTTTTCTATAGGGTTTGTGTTTTCCTAGTGCATGCTTCCATCTAGTGTTGTGTGTCAGTTCCTGCACTCCCTGGCTTCCTGGTTTGTCATATTCCCTGATGTGGTTCAGCTGTGTGTCCTCACAGGTGTTTTGTCTCGTTTGTCACTGTATATAAGTCTGTGTCTCTGTGTTAGTCCTTCATCCTGGCATTGCTTCCTGTCACCTTGGTCCTCTGCGTTTCCCACAAATTATGTAAGTTTGCTGCCCCGTCAGCTGTTGTTTTGTTATTATTAATAAATTATTTTAGTCATCTCCTGAGTCCTGGATTGTCTGCCTGCACCCCTGGGTTTACCCCTCACCAACCATCATTACGACATAATGCCAGGACCAAGCATAAACCCAGCAGGCAGCCAGTTCATGGCAAATCTTTCAGATGAGGACCACCAGCTGTTGGAGAAGACTATCCAAAAATATGGGGACACTGTGGCTACCTCTAATGATCTGGAGGAAAGGTGGGTGGTCACAGAGGATATGATTAATGAGTATTTTCGTCTCCCTGGACTGTGTGACTCTCCCGGCATGATGGTTTTTGGACAAACTACTGAGAGAGAGGACCAGGCTGGAGTCCCGCCGCCTACAGTCAGCTGCTTGGTCCACTTACTGTTCTAACCCTTCATGTGAGTCACCTGGAGGATCTGTGCCTCTCCTTGCCTCTGTTCAAGAAGAGCCCATCATCAAGTGGAACGGGTTCCAGACCGAACCTGTTCAGAGGCAGCAAAGTTGCAGCCCTGAGCCTGAGATCCTTCCGTCGCCCCTCCTAGTGGAAGAAGAAGAAAGGAGGGCACAACTCGGGGAGAGTCACCTCACACAGACACACAGGTCCCTGTACCAGAAATCTGAGGGTGACATTAAACCCAAAGAGGAGCTTGGGCTCACTTCTGATCCTTGTTCACACCCCCACCGGCATAGAGGTCGAGGGCAGAAAAGGATCAGAACCGCTGAAATCCTGATCCTTCCACCATCCGAGTCCCCACAAAAGCAGTCTGAGGAGCTGGGGAGAATTTCTACGGTCGGACTTTACCTGAACCCCTGCTTGCCTACAGAGAGCCCCGAGCCTGCACACATGTCTCCAGTGTCTCCAGCATCTTCAGTGGCCTCGACGTCCACAGAGGTTCCCAGGTCCACCGACGCCTCGACGTCCATAGAGGTTCCCAGGTCCGCCGACACCTCGATGTCCACAGAGGTTCCCAGGTCCGCCGACAGTTTCCAGTGGTCTCTACACCTCCTGCGGCCCCAGTGGTCTCTACGCCGCCTGCGGCCCCAGTGGTCTCTACGCCTCCTGTGGCCCCAGTGGTCTCTACGCCTCCTGCGGCCCCAGTGGTCTCTACGCCTCCTGCAGGCCCAGTGGTCTCTACGCCTCCTGCGGCCTCAGTGGTCTCTTCGTCTCCTGCGGCACCAGTGGTCTCTTCATCTCCTACGGCACCAGTTTTCTCTTCGCCTTGCCTCGGTTCATCGTCTTGTCCAGGCGCATCGCCTTGGCCCTTCGCATCACCTTGTCCAGGCACCTCGCCATGGCCCTTCGCATTGCCTTGGTCCCTCGCCTTATCCAGGCACCTCGCCATGGCCCTTCACATTGCCTTGGCCCCTCACCTCGCCTCATCCAGGCACCTCACCATGGCCCTTCGCATCGCCTTGGCCCCTCGCCTCGCCTTGTCCAGGCACCTTGCCATGGCCCCTCACCTCGCCTTGTGCAGGCTCCTCGCCGTGGCTCCTCGCCTCGCCATGGCCCCACGCCTCGCCTTGGCCCCACGCTTCGCCTCGGCCCCAAGCCTCGCCTTGGCCCCAAGCCTCGCCTTGGCCCCAAGCCTCACCTTGGCCCCACGCCTTGCCTTGGCCCCATGCCTCGCCTGGGCCCTTTGCCTCACCTTGGCCCTTCGCTTGAACTGCTCCAGCAAGATGGACGGTCTTCCAGCCTCTTGCCTGGACTTTTTGTGTTTTTTCTTTTGTGTGTACCTAGTCCCCTTCTTGTGTTCCCTTGTGCCCTCTGTCCTGTTTCCCCCCTCCTCCCACCCAAGTTTTTGGGGAGTGGGTTTCTGGAGGACTTCTGGAGACATCCTTTAAGAGGAAGGTACTGTAAGGATTGGTCTGTTTCATGGGTTTAGCCCCATCTTGTGTTGTGTTTTTTGTCTTATGTCCTTCTCAGTTTCTGTTTTTCTATAGGGTTTGTGTTTTCCTAGTGTATACTTCCATCTAGTGTTGTGTGTCTGTTCCTGCACTCCCTGGCTTCCTTGTTTGTCATATTTCCTGATGTGGTTCAGCTGTGTGTCCTCACAGGTGTTTTGTCTCGTTTGTCATTGTATATACTGTAAGTGTGTCTCTGTGTTAGTCCTTCGTCTTGGCATTGCTTCCTGTCACCTTGGTCCTCTGCGTTTCCCACAAATTATGTAAGTTTGCTGCCTCGTGAGCTGTTGTTTTGTTATTATTAATAAATTATTTTATTCATCTCCTGAGTCCTGGATTGTCTGCCTGCACCCCTGTGTTTACCCCTCACCAACCATCATTACGACACGACCTTGACCTTTTTAAGTTGGCTTTAAACATCTGCTAAGTTCCTGGGAAAAACCAATCCAGACATGTTCCTGTTATTAGTTTTCTACATCACCTTACAACCTAGCTGTTTTTTGTTATTATTTTTAATACCATCTTATTTTCACTTATTATTCTCAATTTGTATACATCCTTTATTGTCTATTTTTGTCATCACTCTTTGTTAAAATCAGGTCTCTCTTGTAAATAAGGCCCCCAGGCTCAATGGGATTAAATTGTATAAATAAAGCTTGAATTAAAGAATTTATCACATTCATACACCAATGGGACACACATCAGAGGCAATGAGGGGTTCAGTGTCTTGCCCAGGGACACTTCGGCATGTAACTGCTGGTGGAATCGAACCCCCAACTCTTGCATTGGAGGATGACTTCTATAATCACTCAGCCACAGGCGCCTCAAAATTGTATTAGAGGGTGTGAAAAACAAAGACTGCATAAAGTGCTTTATAGAATCCTCTGTAATGTTAAATATCAGACAGCAAAAGTTGAGAATTGATGCAAGTTTCTGTGTAAAATATTTCTTATGTTGCTTCCTGTCTTCTTTAGGACTCCTTCGAAACAAAATCTGACAAAGAGAGGACAGAGTTTGGGAACAGCATCATTCAAAGATTCCTCAACTGGCAGGTCTGACAATCCCCAATAGTTTATTTGCTCCTGCTTATATTGCAAACATAAGCATAATAGTTTCACATTTTTCCACTAAAATCTAAAAATTTAAGTCTAAACTTTTAAGTGACTTTATTCATGTTTCTACAGTCCAATCAGTGTGTGTCCATTGTAGCAAAGTATGAAAATATCTGCAGAAAACATTTGAAGCAGAATCCCTGTGATGACATCTTTATTGACTGCAAAGAGTAAGTTCACAGTTCTGCCTGATTTTATACAGAACATTTTACGAAAACTAAGTGATGTGTGTTCAATATTAGAGACCTACATAAATACCTCAGGGAAGAGCCTTTCATCCAGTACTTGGACAGCATGTACTATGACCGTTTTCTACAGTGGAAGATGCTGGAGAGGTCAGTGTGTGTGTTGGAATGTGTCTTAAGATCCACATCAACAAAAAAGTCCCACGTAAAGCCAACTGCTTGACAGATCAAGGGGTTGTGGTTTGTGCCACATGCAGATATTGTCTGGGTATTTAAAATAAAAACTAGTACTTGATGTAAAAACAGACTGTTTTCTTCTTTAAGGCAGCCCATCACCAAACACAATTTCAGACAGTACAGGCAGCTGGGGAAAGGAGGTTTTGGAGAGGTAAGACTTAAATATTTTCAACATTTTTGAAAATAATGTACAAAATGTAAAACTATGTATCCCACATGTATCCAAAAAGCGTTCAATACAAAAACAACTGGACTTTATTTGTAACAGAAGACGTTTCACTCCTTATCCGAGGAGATTTCTAAATTCAAAGAGCAGTGAGGGAGGGATTCAGGTTATAAGGCTGAGTGAGATAAGACACACACACATATGTAGATTGGCAAATCACACCTAAACACCTTAACAGTAGGGGTTTCTTAAGGTCTTTGTTACTCTAATTCACAGATGAGCCCCCTCTGTTCCCATCAGGTGTGAAAACTGGCTGGGAATCAGTCTTAAAGTTGCATTACAGGTTTTTGAAAGTGGACATCTGAGGCCTCCTCTTCTATTAAGAGATGTTTTTTCTCTTTTTACATAAATTGCTTCCTTCACCCCCCTCTCAAACCATCTGTGTTCTCGGTCCAAAATGTGTACATTTTGGTCCTCAAAACAATGTCCCTTATCTGTGAGGTGGAGGGGAACAGCTGAGTCTTGTCCAGAGGAGGTGGCTGTCCTGTGTTGAGCCATGCGTCTGTGAAGAGGCTGTTTATCCAAAAAAGTTCAATCTGGTCCTCTGGACATTAAAAAAAAAAAAAAAAAAAAAAAAAAAAACAAAGCAAAAAAATCTAGAAACGTTTCGTCTCTCATCCAAGAGACTTCCTCAGTCTGAGGTGCTGTTTTCAGCTCAGTCTCTTAAATAGCACCTTCACAGAGTGGATCAACCAGTTTGCTGCTGACAACCAAAACCAGCTGATCACATGCTCAAGAAGGACCATCAGCCTAACAATGGGTCATTAGCACACTGATGGCTGTTTACTACTCACAGAGGGCTGAGTGATACTAGCAATCACAGCATTGTAAGAGGGGGACAGTTGAACCCGGAGGCCTCCACCCCTGTTTAATGATGGACGATTTCTTTTCACAAAGATGGCCTCCTTTACTCCTCTCTCAAACCATCGTTCCTCTCTGTCCAGGATGTGAACATCTTCATCCTTGAAAGAGTGACCACTGGCCTGGAGATGAGTGTAGACCGCAGAATCCTGGCCTGATGATGTTGATCTTCTGTGCTGGGCCATCCTTTTGGCCAGTGGCTGTTTAGTTTCCCCGATGTAAGACTGATCACAGCCCTCCTGACACTGAACAGCATACACAACATTACTCTGTTTGTGCCGGGGGACTGGATCTTTGGGATGAACCAGTTTTTGCCGTAATGTATTTTGGGGTTTAAAAGCCACTGGGACGTTATGTTTAGAAAATAAACGTCTCAGTTTCTCTGATACC